TCCATTCGTCCTATCATCAGCCCCGACTGGGAAGAGTGTGGGCAGATGGCCAAATCGTCATCAATCATGCATTCGTCGTGTCACGTCTATTCGCCCTAGGGCACCGAAAGCCACTCTCCGGTTAATTATTTTCGACAGGATACAACATGACGAGCTTGTCCACCCGTCTGTCAAGACGCCCACTCAGCTTGGCGCCTCTCAACTATCGCTACCTCTGTTTGTTTGTAGCTCTCATCTCGGCTTTTCGTGGTGCCTGCAGACTCGTCGCTTCTTCACGACCCAATCAATTGGCCGGTTCCGGTCTCCGTTCCGGCTCTGGCTCGGGTCCCAGTTTCACTTGCCCTTCCTACTTCCGGTAGGGAAGTTCGGGAACTGCCTTTTAGTGTCGTTTCGTTTTGGCCCCTCCTTTCATTTCGTCCGAGGTGGCGAAGGTCACGCATTCGTAGATTGACATCCCCTTTAAGATGGTTGTCACGACGAAAGTACAGAGTGATCGGGATCGCGGAACGCTGCACCACCACGACACATCCGCACAAATCTACACACACAACTGCCCTCGTTCAGCTTCTGACGAGGCAAAGCTACGAATATCTTTCATTCGCCGGCACCGGTGCCTAATACACTTGGTACGGTTGCCAAGGCCACCAGTGGCAAAGCGGCGTAGTCGTTAATGTGTCGAGATTACACGCAGCACTGGCGTGGTTCGAGTCCCGCTGGGGCTGTTGATTGGACCAATCCAGGCAAAGTCGAAATTACAATCCATCCTGGATAGGAATTCCATTCGAGGAGAAAGATTATGTGAAATTGAATGGCAACGTAAGGTCTACTGATGTGATTTCGGGAGAATTGAGCTACCAGTCCTTCATCACGTTAAACGAAATAGGGTGAACGCACCTCTTATATCTGATTTACTGGTAGTCATGAAGAAATTTTTACAAACAAAAAATGATTTTCTTGTTTTCCTCTTAAAAGCTAGACCAGATAAACATTAATGGCAAAACGTGACAAGATCGTGTGTACCGAAATGTAGGATGACGGTTGAACCACCTCCGAACAAGGTGGCGTATGAACAGGGTTGTAAAATGCCTCCAATTTGAATAAGAGGCCAAATATAAAAATAACAATAAATTAATGCATTTATTTACATTTGTGTAAATATAAATATTTAAAAATATATAAATAAATAGAGGCATAAAAATATAGGAAAAAATATGGAAATAGAGGAATAGAATGCAATTTTCTCGTCGTCTCAG